AACTCACATACACTTTATCTCATGACATTGACTACAGTTTCCCACCATGCAACAGCTCCCCTCCCACTTCCTCCCCATAGCTACCTCTTCCCTGTGTCCTTCCTTCCCATGCACTCCTGCCCCGCAAGCTGTCTCCCTGTGCATACACAGCCCTTCTATTCTCCCATGATTGTTCTCTCCTAGGAGTGAATCTACCTAATGTAAATGTTCAGCTCAAATACCTGTCTTTTGTTTGTCTGGAAGTCACAGGAGTGGGTTCAATTCCAGACCTGAAGGGCAGCTAGGGGCCATAGTCTTAGCGGTTCCATTAGGCTCAGAGCCCATCACCTTGTTGATTGACAAATATTCATTGAATGAATGAACAAGTAATTAAATAAAAGCATTTTAAGATATACATTCTGAAATTACATAGTCATGAGATTGGAGGCAAATATCATTTTCTCCAACTCTGAGAAGTACTTAAGCTAGGAAGACAGTGAACATTCAGATTCTGGGGAGCTATTTATGGCAACTCTTCCTCACTAGCATCACACTGCCTGAACCCGTCCGAGGAAGTCTTGCAGTTACAGCAGAGCTCTGGAAAACCAGTACTTTTCCAGAACTTCCTATCTGGTAAAAGGAAAAGTACTCAGTTTCTCTAGATTATCTGTACCCAAGGAGCTCTGGTAGCATAGTGCCTAAGGCACTTGACTGCTCACCAGAAGGCTAGAGGTTCAAACCCACCAGCCACTCCTCGGAAGGAAGGTTGGGCAATCCTACTTCCGTAGTGATACTGCCTCGGAAACCCAAGGAGGGGTCGCTATGAGTCGGGGCTGACTCGACGGCAAACAACAACAACAACAACAATGTACGTTAGCTTTAATTCACGGACCTAAGAAAGAGGTAGGGACCTTATAACTGTACTTCATTTCACAGATGAAAAAACAGACCCAGCAAAGTGAACTGACTTTTGTAACCCTTGAGTCAACCCCCGATTCATGGCTGACCCCATGCACAACAAGGTCTGAGCACTGTAAGCCTAACACTTGTTAATAATAGAGCTGGAACAACTGAGAATAGATAACTCTTAGAATTCTCTGTGTACCTGTCTCCATATATACATCACTCCAATAACAGAATAGAATTTATTCATTAACAATTATGTCTATGAATTATTTTTTTTATTACATTGGGTAAAATGCTCTTGATATAATGTTAAGTGTGAAAAGCAGATTAGAATTGAATGTATAATATGTACTCAATTATAAAATTTATAAAAAATGTGAAGCTCATGTGTATAGGAATGTGTGTGTGTGTGTGTGTGTGTCTCATTGTCTATCTATGTAGGAAATTTAAAAGGAAGTGTGCCAAACATTAACAGTGTTTAATCGCTGAAGTTATAGGTGACTCTTATTTTATTTATCCTTTTCTGCTTTTAAATCTTTTCTTCAATGAATATGTAATATTTTATCATCAGAAATTTAATTTTTTTAAATTCCTGATATCATATTTTTGAAGCTTTTATTTTGGTGTTGCTCAACTCTGAGGAGTAGAGAGAGGATCAACTCAGGAGTCCAAAGAAGTTCTACTGGAACAGTCATTTATCCTGATGTGTAAAATGGGTATAATTATATCTACTTCATAGGGCTATTGAGTGCATGGAATAATGAATACAAATTCCTTTGCAGCTCTAAAGGTTTATAAAAGTGTCAAGTGGTTTTGGAATGATGATAAAATCCTGTGACTTAAAAGAAATGGAAGAGCTCCTAGGATAAGAGGTCCCTTTGAGTTGATGAGATTAGATTGGGAGAGGAGAGAAACCTAAGGGTCAGGAGAGAAGCAAGAGCTTTTTTTGCCAACACCTAAGAGAAATAACCACATGCCTGACCTGACTTCTCTCTTTCTCCTATGCTTTCAATAATTGCCTCTATGTTCTCTCTTCACACTATACCTCCCTCTTGTCTCTTCAGGAGCTCTGGTGGCATAGTGCCTAAGACATTTGACTGCTAACCAGGAGGCTGGTGGTTCAAACCCATCAGCCACTCCTCAGAAGGAAGGTTGGGCAATCTACTTCCATAGTGATACCGCTTCGGAAATCCAAGGAGGGGTCGCTGTGAGTCATATCCCACTCGATGGCAGTGGGTTTTCCTGTCTCTTTAAAGGAGCTCTGGTGATGCAGTGGTTAAAGTGTTTGGCTGTTAACCAAAAGGTTGGTGTTCAAACCTATAAGCCACTCTGCCGAATAAAGATAAGGCCATGTGCTTCTGCAAAGAAATATAGTCTTGGAAACCCCCAGCTCTACTCTGTCCTACAGGGTTACCGTGAGTAGGAATTAACTCGATGGCAATGGGTTTGATTTTTTTTTCCTCTTGGTTTTCTGTCTCTTTAATAATCCATACAAGAGACAGGTTGTAGCGTATGGGATAGAGTGTATTTTAAGACAGTAGTAGGTTTGTTTCACATTCCATAGTGTGAAAGGCCACCTGTGTAGGTAGGAATGAGACCAATAACCTACTGAGGCCTGTCTAGTCCTAACCAAGAAGGGGCTACTTCCACTCTGGGTTAGAAGAGTTTGCGTGGAAAATAAGGACTTTTACTTGGAACCGTTTGTACTGGGCTTGATCCTTTACAAGCCTTCCTCAACTATTATTTTTTAGGGGGTCTCACAATTTCCATGGAAAATACGATTTCACACACAGCAGTGATTTTTCAAATTATTCAGTGGTATCAAAGCTAATATGTGAAATTATTGTCACTTTTATTTTAAACAGTATACAGACCTATGGTAAATTTTCCAAGAGAAATGGAAACTTAAGTTCACACAAAATCCTGAAATGAATGTTTATAGCTACTTTATTCATAACTTCCAAAAGCTAGAGACAACTCAGATGTCTTTAACTAATGAATGGATAAACTGTGATACATCCATATAATGGAATACTGCTCAGCCATAAAAAGAAATGAATTGCTTATAGACACAACAGCTAAGGATGAATCTCAAATGCATTATGCTAAGTAATTAAATCCAAACCCCAAAGACTACCTATTATATTGTTCTATTTATATATAAGTAGAATATAAGTAGTTCCCAGAGGAAAGGATGGGGGAGGGATTGACTACAACTAGGCAGTAAGAGAAAATTTTGGAGGGTGATGGAAATATGCTTGATTGTGATGGTTACGAAATGTGCATTTGTCAAAACAACATACCAAAAAGTGAATTCATCATATTTCACTGCATACACTGAAAAAAAATGAATGCATCTACATAAAATTAAGCAATACAGGCCCATGGTAAATTCAAACAGTACAATAAATTCAGTAAAAATTTTTATCCCAGATCTAGTGCTGTATTGTGGTGGTGGTTACATAAGTCTACACATATAAGGCACAGAACTATATACTATACACACATAATACCACTTTTCTACTTTTGATATTGTACTATATAGTTAAGTAAGATGTAACCATTGGGGGAAACTTGAGTGAAGGGTACACTTGATATCTCTGTACTATTTTTGCAGTTTCCTGTAAATTTATAAAAAAAAATTTCATCATCTCTAGTTTGTTACCAAATTTCCAGACTCTAGGCCTGTCCTCACTATGAGTCAGAACCGAGTTGACGGCAGTCAGTTTGGGTGTGTTTTTTTTTTGTTAGTCCTGTCCTCCCGGGCAACCACTATTAAGTTTCCTGTGTATCCTATGTACATTAAGTCTAATTTCTGTGTGTGAATAAATTGTACATGAATACTTTTAATATAAATGGTAGTATAGTATACATACTGTCTGCACACTGATATATTTTGATCATTATTTTAGAGATTTTTTCAAATCACGTTCATGAATCTACCTCATTCTTTTTTCCTGCTGCATAGTATTCCAGTACATGGTATTTTCCCGGTTTGGTTTCTTACAGATGGGCGTTCACATCTTAATAAGGAATTAAAATCATTTAAATTTAAATTTTTACATGAAATGTCAGCCGGATTGAGACCAAACACTAAACGTTGTCACAGACTGAAGATTAGCCTCCAGAATGTCTGCTCACCAGAAAGGGAACACAAGTGGCAAAGAACGCATTTCTATCAGTCGCGAAACGCTGGAATTTCTCGCGGCCAATGGGGAAGCAGTAGGGCCAGCAGGGAATTACTGCCGGGTAGGAGTTCGCGGAGGGGCGCCCTCCTGCTGGAATCGGAAGCCTTGCTCCAAGCCAGGCTCTCCCCGGGCTGCAGCTCAAACCGAAGTATGTCAGGGCTTTGCTCAGTGCGGTGATGCGAGGCCATTTCCGGCTCCTAGACGAGACCTCCTGCCCAAGCTGGACCTGAACCCCCAAGATCTCCAGCCCACGCGCTCAGGGGGCGTACACGTGGTGACCTGCCTGAGGCCGGGTTCCGGGCTCCGGCTCCTCCTCCTTACAGTTCTTGCTAGGCTTTCTGCAGTATCACGTGCAGCCGCGCCGGGTGCAGGATGGCGGCGGCGGCGGCAGCAGCGGTGGGTGTCAGGCTCCGAGACTGCTGCAGTCCGGGCGCCGTTCTCCTGTTCTTCTTTTCCCTGTCCCCTCGGCCTCCGGCTGCGGCCGCCTGGCTACTGGGACTAAGGCCCGAGGACACTGCGGGAGGCCGCGTGTCCCTAGAGGGGGGCACTCTGCGCGCGGCTGAAGGCACCAGTTTCCTTCTGCGCGTCTATTTCCAGCCCGAGCCCGCCGCGCCTGCCGCACGGGTACCCGCACCCACCCTTTCCTTGGGGGAAAACGGCACTGGTGACTGGGCTCCGCGGCTCGTGTTTATCGAGGAGCCCCCGGGCTGGGGCGGCGTGGCTCCCAGTACTGTTCCCACGCGCCCCCCGGGGCCACAGCGCTGCCGGGAGCAGAGCGACTGGGCGTCGGACGTGGAGGTCTTGGGGCCCCTGCGCCCCGGGGGCGTGGCGGGCTCAGCACTTGTCCAGGTGCGGGTGCGGGAGCTGCGCAAGGGCGAAGCAGGGCAGGGCAGCGCAGGAGGTGGCGGGAAGCTCTTCTCGCTGTGCGCCTGGGACGGGCGCACTTGGCACCACCACGGCGCAGCCGGGGGCTTCCTGCTGCGCGTCCGGCCTCGGCTGTATGGCGGGGGCGGTGAATTGCTGGCCCCCGCGTGGCTGCGGGCACTCGGGGCGCTCTTGCTGCTCTCCCTGTCTGCCCTGTTCAGCGGCCTGCGCCTGAGCCTGCTCTCTCTGGACCCAGTGGAGTTACGGGTGCTGCGGAACAGCGGCTCGGCCACCGAGCAGGAGCAGGCGCGCCGCGTGCAGGCCGTGCGCGGCCGAGGAACCCATCTGGTCTGCACCCTGCTCCTGGGTCAAGCCGGAGCCAACGCGGCCTTGGCCGGCTGGCTATACGCCTCACTGCCGCCGGGCGTCGGGGGCACCGGGGAAGACTACAGCGAGGCAGGGATTCACTTCCCATGGCTGCCGGCGCTCGTGTGCACCGGCGCTGTGTTCCTGGGCGCCGAGATCTGCCCCTACTCGGTGTGTTCACGGCACGGACTGGCCATCGCGTCGCACAGCGTGTGCCTGACCCGACTCCTGATGGCAGCCGCCTTCCCTGTGTGCTACCCGCTGGGCCGCCTGCTGGACTGGGCGCTGCGCCAGGAGATCAGCACCTTCTACACGCGGGAGAAGCTGCTGGAGACTTTGAGGGCCGCAGACCCCTACAACGACCTGGTGAAGGAGGAGCTCAACATCATCCAGGGCGCCCTGGAGCTACGCACTAAAGTGGTGGAGGAGGTGCTGACTCCTCTCGGGGACTGCTTCATGTTGTGCTCAGACGCAGTGCTGGACTTCGCCACGGTCTCTGAGATTCTGCGCAGCGGCTACACTCGTATACCGGTGTACGAGGGCGACCAGCGGCATAATATTGTGGACATTCTGTTTGTCAAGGATTTGGCTTTCGTCGATCCCGACGACTGCACTCCGCTCCTCACCGTCACCCGCTTCTACAACAGGCCCCTGCACTGCGTCTTTAATGATACCAGGCTGGACACGGTGCTGGAGGAGTTTAAGAAGGGTAAGCAGTTGTCTCTTTCCTCTTCTAGCTCCTATCCCCTTCAAAGGTATTACCCGTTCATAACTATGGGAGGCCTCAGGTACCCAAAATAACTTTTCTTCTCAGTACCCAAAATTCAACGACAGCCCCACTATAGCTTCCCTGGCTATTCCCATCTCACTTCTCCCATCATTCTTTGCAACTAACTGAGCCCTCAGCTTCCTACCCTAATTGGCTCCCAGATGCACCATATCTCTCATTCATTCCATTACAACAGTATGTTTTCCGTCTAGTGAGTGCCAGATCTTGTGCAGGTTGGCCTTGGGGATGGCCCTTGAACAGCTCCCCACCCATTACAAGAGGCCACTCTACACTACAGGTTCCTATAACAAGCAGCCTTTACTTTAAACTCCCGGAGCCAGAAGCTCACCATTTCCAGGGCAAACTAACTCTACTGCTGGACAGCTCCAGCTGCTGACAAATCTTCCATACCTAGAGCAGAAATCTGCCTCGAGGACTTCTCCCTGGGTCCTACTGCTGCCCTTTGTATCACATAGCCTAAGTCCCAGACACCTTAGAATCCTCCCCCCTCCATATTTAACCTCCCATCAGCCATTCGTTTGACACACAGCAAGTACCCAGGTTGAGGATTAAATGTTGAATAAGGTAGTGGAGTCCTTGTTCTTCTGGGGTGTGCTCCCATGAGGTAGGGTAGATCTAGAGCCCAGGAAGTATTCTGGGGGTCCACTTGCATATCCTTCAGAGTAGTTACCACCCCAGGCAGCCACTTAACCTCAAGCTTTATGCCATGTTTATAGCATGCCTACCTCATGTCTAGGATTTGTCTTTGGACACTCATTGTCTTCTAGGGTTGAGTATAATTCATCCAAGAAAAATCAGCCTGGGTACTTTGGAGTTAATCCCGTTGGCATTACACAGTTTGACTGGTCCACCCAGGAGGATCTTTGGTTGTTTTTGAAAATCAATCCACCTTCAGGAGTGGTGAGAGCATCCAAGAGACTTTCTCACAGACCCTGAAAACAATTTCAGAAATGATTTGAGAACAGTGACATGATTGGAAAAGTGTGGAATCTTCCAGAATGATTATTTTGAAGGAGGTACTCATCTATACATATGAGTTGGCATGTTTATTAAAAACAAAATAAATCAACCTCCTGACTTTAGAATCAGGCTTCAGTTGTAGCTTCCCTATAGCTAGCAGGACTCTCATTTGACCAGGTACTTTTTTCAATTTGTCAAGAATTCAATCTCATCACCTTTAGTTACTCTTTAGGATTTTACAGTTTCTTTCTGCCATCATATTTTTAGACAAGTGAAATGGTTTTAAACATCAAAAAAGAACCTCAGGGGCCAGGGAATGTGAGAAGGGGGGAAAAAAATCTAAAAGCTACTCTCAGCCGCAGATGTGGGCAGAGAACAGTCCTAGACTTTGCATTGGTGTCATGAGATGAGGAAGGGAGCTATTTTAGCCCAATCGGGGCTACTCTCATACCCTCATCTGTGTCTGACCCCTAAACCTTGCCTGGATAGTTTCCACTGCACTCTGAGATTCATCCATCCTCTCTTAAAATTATTCTTACATTTTGTGTGCCCTGTAGGAGGGAGTCTTGAATCTGGGCATAAAAACCATGAAATAACAATACATTACATATACCAGTTATGAAAGAGTACTATTAAGATATCTCACTTGAGTGTGCTGATAAAGGATATTTTTAGTGAAACTTCTGTGAACTCATTCATTCATTATTTATTGAGCATCTATACAGTGTTAGGCTGTGGTAGTTAAAGTTGTATGTCAATTTGGTTGGGCCTGGTTGAGTGGCTGGGCAGCTGGTGGTAGTTATTCCCCATGATGAGACTGGCAATCAGCTCCATGGTGGGATCTACCACAAGCAGCTGAGTAGCTGCTTTAGGGATGTGGTCTGCTTCTTCTATATAAGAAACAGCTTTGGGAATGGTCTCTAGCTTATGGCACACTTGAACCCTGCATGTAGCCGTGTTGTTGTTCAGCAGCCTGCCATGCTCTGCTGATCTTGGGACTTTCAATGGACTTGAATTAATGGCCTGCTGTGTGGTTTGGTAATTGTGTATTACTAACCTGTGTATTCTCAGCACCTTGCACAGTTCCTTACACATAGTAAGCTGTTAAGAAAATTCAGTATTCATCTGAAATGAGTCCCTGTTGCAGAATTTCTAAATCTGTCTGAAAAAGGCTTGTTAGTGTCTTATTAACAGTTTGTAGTTAGGTAGATAACTAAAGAGAAGCAGGCCAGGTTAAATCTCATTACATTGAGTACCATGCCAAAGCAGAATTGATCTAGCAAAGATATTTCTATGACCTGTTAGGGCCTTACTACTTACTCAAAGTGGGGTCAGTGAACCACCAGCATTGATGTCACTTGCAAGCTCATTAGAAATGTGAAATTTCAGGTCCCACCCTAAATCCACTGAATGAAAATCTGCATTTTAATTTGACCCTAGGTGATTCATGTGCACATTAAAGTTTGAGAAGCATTACCTTCGGAGAACCCTTTTTAACAATGCATTGTAGATCTACTTAGGATAGAATAAGTAAAAGAATAATCAAGGTGAGTGTTCCCGGTCACTGAGCCATATAATACAGTGATCATTTTCTATAGTTATTTTTGTACCATTGGTTAAGAGAGGAAAGCTGAGCTGAACTACTTTTTTTCTTTACCTATAAAAATGACTTTTTAAGCAAGTAGTAATAGCCCTTCTATTTCCCTTACTTACTGCATCTTAAGCAACTTAACCACCTAAACAGACCCCTTAGGAGGTAGGAGAGAAAAATGGTAATATTACTAATAGGAACAACCAAGGCTGTAAATCTCTATGGAAGTAGATTGCCCCATCTTCCTTCTGCAGCACATTTGAACCACTGACCTTCTAGTTAGCACTCAAATGCCTTATCCACTATGCCACCAGAACTCATTAATAGGAATAGGAGCTACCATTAATTGAGCAACAGCTGTGCCAGGCCCTTTTCATACTCAGAACAGTCCTGCTTTGTTGTTGTTGTTATATGCCATCGAGTCATACCTGAATCATAGTGACCCCTCCTTGGGTTGCTGAGGCGGTATCACTACGGAAGTAGATTGCCCAACCTTCCTTCCAAGGAGTAGCTGGTGGGTTTGAACCGCCAGCCTTCTGGTTAGCAGTCAAGTGCCTTAGGCACTATGCTACCACAGTCCTGCTAGGTAGGTATTATTAACTCCGTTTTATAGATGAAGAAACTAAAGCTCAGATCAATTATATAACCAGCTCAGTTTTCCATAGTTAATAGTTGACTGAATTGCGATTCGAACTGAGTCTGCAGACCCTTAAAACCTTTTTTTTTTTTCCTCACTACACTATAGTGCTGATTACATCTTCCTCCCTAGAACTCCTGTCATCCACACAGTTCAGAGCTGGCCTTTCCACCTCTGACTTGCTGCCCACGGTTCATTGCCTTCTAGTTTCTGCAGATTAGAAGTGTAGCTTTTATAATTACAATCATTTGCTAACATGCATATTTCACTCGAAACATTTGTACGTTACATTTTCTTATCTGATCCTTATCACAGCTCTGTAGGTACAGGTGAGAAACCTACTCAAAATCATCACTCAGCTAGTATATTCCAAGGCCCAGATACAAATCCAAGTCATATGACTCCTAAACCCTTTGTCCGTTTGGGATTTTTATCTCTGTACTTCTTAGGAGTTGCATGTCTTTAGAAGTGGGTAGAGGAAAATGGCCTTGCATGCTAGCTTGACAAAAGCGAACAGTATTTTCACCCACTGGACTGTGATTTCCTTGAGGGCAGAGAATGAATCTTAGTTACCTTTGTATTCCCAAGGCTAGTGCAGTGGCCATCATGGCTAGAGGGTGAATCGATATTTATTGAATAAATGGGTTTAAATAGCCAACTCCTACTGTGTTTCTGTGCTTACATGAGGCCAACCCTGAGTACCTAGTATAGTTTCATTGACCACAACAAATCTTTCCTCTTTCTCCTCCTAGGTTAGTGGCACCACTGCCCCTCTAGTCTCCCAGGCTAGAAACTTCTCCTTCATCTTCCACCCTCATCCTGTTTACCACCAGTCTGCATCTAAAATATTCCTTAGGAGCTCTGGTAGCATAGTGGCTAAAGCACTTGACTGCTAACCAGAAGGCTGGCGGTTCAAACCACCAGCCACTCCTTGGAAGGAAGGTTGGGCAATCCTACTTCCGTAGTGATACTGCCTCGGAAGCCCAAGGAGGGGTCGCTGTGAGTCGGGGCCGACTCGACGGCACATAACAACAACAACAACAAAATATTCCTTGGATTTCACATAATTATACAAAATTATTATGCATAATTTAGTCCACTATTTCTTCCACTTAGATTATGTGTTATTTTATTCAACAGTTATTGTGTACCAGTTGTGAAGGCACAATGGAGACCACCACCAGGATAGCCCCTGTCTCATGGGGCTTTCAGTCTAATCCAAGAGACAAAAATTAAACAAATGGGATAGTGATTAAGACCTTTAGCTTTGGTGCCAGACTGCCCAAATTGAATCGTGGTGTTGGGCAAGTTACTTAACCTGTTGATACTTGTTTCATTAGCTGTAAAATGAACATAATAACATTATTTACTTATAGAGTTGTTTGGAATATTACAGTAGTAATCCATTATACTGTTCACTTAGTGCCTCTCATGTAATAAATGCTAAATAATTATTAACTATGATTATTAAATGCAAATCTATTACTCATTTGTGCAAATGCCTCTTAAGAAGTTTTGCGGCTTCCAATTTCTGTCTCCCTCAAATCCATCCTCTCTAACACCGCTAAAATAATTTCTGATAATGTCATCCCATGCTGTCCCCTTCTGGAGCTCCCCACAGCTTGCAAGATAAAGTCTAAGCTGGCAACGCTGCCTGCTGTGCCCTCATGACCTGCTCCCTGCCCTCCTCTCCAGCCTCAGCACCCTCCCTGCCACACCTGTATGCTCATG